GGGGGACGACGACAAGCGAGGCCTCCCCCCGCCGCGCAGGGTCGCGTGTTTTTGTTTGTACATTGATTTATTGCGCGGCAATAAATAAATAATAAAATAAACAATAATAAACTAAAAATAATAAATAATTGATCTTTTTTAAAAGGCAGCAGAATAAACACACGGTTGGGCAATGCCGCAAGCCCCGCAGCGTGACTCAGGGGTTATACACACAGCATGAGCAGGCACATAACCCACCCGGGACTGCGGGGATGGCCGCCTTGCTCCTCCCTCTCTCCCGACCGGCGCGGCGGCGTGGGGTGGCGCTCCGCGCGTGGGAGCGGGGCTCGGCGGGGGTCCAGGGCGTGGTGTACCCTGTGTGAGGCTCGAATGCCTCTGCTTGTCTAAAACGGGGGTAATGAGTCGGACCTGTTCTTAAAGCGGCTGTGAGATGGAAGACCAAAAAAAAATACTACTTTTCGTGACTGTCCCTGTCGCTGTTGGATCTGGATTATTCCCCTGTTTATAACATCTCAGTTAAACAACAAGGGGCAGAGAGTGTGTCACGTAATGTGCCAGACCAGATGCACGTTACAAACAGCAGACTGTTAAAGGGAACTGTCTGCAAACAAGCCAAAATAGCCGGTCAATTTTAGCCCAGTTACTCAGCTGATACATACTTGGAATATCTTTGGTTTTTTCTAGGAGTAGTTGGGCTCACAATTATTTACTGACCAGCAAAAGAGAAGGTATTAATGAATGGATCAGCATGCTCAAGTCAGCACAAAAATTAATTGCTGCTACCCTGGGGACAATGAATGGGAGTGTATCAAACAGTTCTTTCTTTGCATGCCTCGTCCAGAGAAGCAGAACTTCCCCAAGGATGGTCTTTTATTTGTGTAGTTGTTTTAGTTGTGCTAGTAGAGGCTGAGTGGGACAGCAGACTGCCTCGGGTGCATAAGGTGACTCTCCAAGGCCACACCAGCGGCAGAGGTGAGAGGACCCAGGTTTCCTACATCTGATTCAACTCTGTGCAGTGTGTTGACTCAGAATGAACAAGGGTAGGAAAAGACATCGCTGCTGTTTTGCTGGCACTCTGCTTCTACAGTGTGGCCAAAATGGAAAACATCCAGACTATAGCAAAAAGCCAGCTTGAATCCTGAAGAAATTGAAGAGCAAGCTGGATGCTCCTTAACGATAAAACCAGGATCAGGGGAACATAAAGCCCTGGTCTTTTTGTAGAAGTACTCTCATAAATCCTTTAGGCTGCCCCAGGAAACTGATAGTACTGGTGGCTTTATCCCTATATACTGATAGGCACACTTAAGTTGCCTGCAGGGTGGGACTCATGCTGGCACTAGGGGTGGGAAGGTCCGATTACCAATCCCCACAGCAGATCCAGGGTGTTACCTTGTGCCCTCTGCCTCGCAGAGAGCTGTTTCATATACTGGCCACCATCCACCTTTGCACTCAATAACACACTGCTTCTTGAACTCACAGGCCTTCTGGTAATGCTCCCTCTCCAAGCCCTGGTGCACTGTGATCTCTCATCTTGAACTTAAGCAGGAGAGATATGGAGGAAATACACTTACTTAGTTGCAGATATGCTCAGATGATGGCAGCTCCCAGATGATCTTGCCTGGCACAGGAGTGTAAATGAGCATGGGATAGAAATCTCACCTACACTTACAATGTAGGCATGTACAGCTGAGCCTGTCACTTCAAACTGCCTTTGTGGTCAATGGCAATAAATAGGCGTGGTGGGGTGGGATTTTTCTCACCTGAATCATGACACCTACTTTTGGATGGCCGAAGTGTGCCCCCAAGAACTCTGGCAGGTGCTTTAGTATCTGAGCTTTTGCTACTCAGTATGGTGCAGTGTGACCTCCCGCACAGCCCAATGGTCAGCTCCAACAGGTGCATGCCCAAATCTCTTAAGGATAGAGCAGCCCACAGTGGGAATGGCATAGACCGGTGTGTCCCAACCTTCACTAGTTCATGTGCATAAGGTTCGTACAGAAAGCTTCATCAACTTGTTTCTGCCTGTCCTAGGACACGTGAACATTTCCCCATGGTTGCAGGTAGTGTCAGAGGATCTCAGAAGGGTGAGTCAGAAGGAAGGCATTATTTTTGTGCAGTGCCATAGTGACTAGCCTAGGCTGAAGGAATCCCAGGGTTTAGACCCGGGGAAAATTCTGGTTTCATGACATTATGCCTTTCTATAATACCTGTGTTTGGCATCCTTGCTTCCTAACTGCCTGCAGCACAGCAGTTGGTAAAGTGTATTGAAGGTCTGTAGTGATGTAGATGCCTCTTCCCCAAGGACAAAAGAGAGGAAATTTTCTAGCCTGTTTCACCCAGGCCACCAACCCATTCTGGCAATTTTAACAGACTCATCTCAAACTTCTGTTGTCCTGTAAATCGCTGTTTCCACCTCCAGGACTACACACAAGGCAGCTGAGCTAGCATCTAGTTTGAATTTCTGTTGACAAATCAGAGAGGAGTTTCAGGGTTCTGCCCTGGTCTGATGCAAAGACATGGCCTGTGAGAGCATTGCTAGGTGACTTCTCCTCCTCCAACAAATCCCACGTGAGGATCACAGATCTCCTTACTGAACTCTTCCTGCCCTGATGATGCAGCCCTGGATGTGCAGCCACAAGCCTCACTCCTCCCACTTCCCCGTTTCCTCCCCATCAGGCACTGAATTCCCAGCCCTCTCCTCCAGCTCAATAATAACAGTAGTGTCACTGGCACAACAGCAGGCAGGAAGATGATACATGCAGAAGCAGTGACAAACAGCTAATCAATCTGGCTTACGGTTCTTATTAAAATGTCAACCCATGGGCATGTGACAAACCCCACATTCTGGGTCTGTGTGCTAGAGGGAGGAACTGGAAACGGGGTTGGCTAGTTTTCCTACCCTGGACTGCCAGCACAAAGTGGTCCACCGAGTTGCAAAACAACATACTCTCGGTGTATTGCTGTGTCTGCAGCTCACGTAGGCAGAGGTTCACTTTAAAAGGGATTCCCCAAGCTTTGCCAATGCTGTAGTCATAGAAGCAGGAGATAAAAACATTTACACAGAATCTGGGGGCAGGGTTTGCAGCCCATGCTGTACCACACAGTGCTCCAGGGGCACTGCTAGGAGCTCTGCAGTGCACTACTGTGAAGTGAAGCTAGCTTAGGTATATCTACACAACTGGCTAAAATTCTGTGAAATAAGGCTAAAAATATCCATTATTTGCCCTGTGTTTCTTGGAGATGTCATCTAGGTGGATGTCACTCGGGAACTCCCTGGAGCTACTGTTCAGCTACCTATAACTCTGGATTCCTTTGGGTATTTCTTTCATTAGTACCTGCCCTTGGGTACTCATTCCATCTGTATCTCCATAGGCTGACTTTTTTTCTTTTTTTTAATCTTTCGTGTGGTTTCAGCATATCAAAGCCTGTCTTGTAAGAAAACTTCTACTTTGTAGTCAGAATGGTGATTAAACCACAGAGGGCGTACCTGAAGTCACTTGTGATTCTGCTCTGTTTGATGTCCATCCATGGCATGTGGATAGTTCTTCAGTCCTTGCCTGGTGTCTCTCCTGCACCACTCGTGACTGGTCACCAGTTTCACTTGACACTGGATCTATAGCAGCCTCAGAACCAGTACAGGCACATTGGCCCTGGGTGAGGGCACAGGGTTAGTCACTCCGAGCAAAAAATGGCTAATTGTGTATGTGTTTTCCTTTCCTCCAGGAAATGTCTCTGTATTGTCTATGCTGAACTGCCGTCTCACTGCTCTATTTTCTACAGCTTCTTATTTTTTACAAAAAAGCTGCTCATTCCTCCCAAACTGATTGCATGGCCCAGCCTCAGCTCAAGTTGCTTAAATGCATACAAATGATGTTATGAGGAGATTAAGGAAAACACCTTGTTGCGCTGTGAAAAGCAGCAGTAAAGGACAAAACCCCATATCTGAATAACACAAGTCTGAGATCCCTTTGTTCCAGCCGATGGTTTGGAGTGGCCTGTTGGGGATGGGTATCGTTGTTCCTTACAGTCCTGTGAAAACAAAGGAGCAACACAACAGTGGGGCCAGTGGGGTGTTTCTGAAGACCAGTCTTTCTCAAGTACCACATGTTCTAGGGGAACCTAAGGGTGGCATGGACAACTCCTTTGCAGCACCTGGTGTCAGTGTACTGTTGTTCCCCTCATGTGGTTCCAGCCCAGATTACTCCATGTGCAGGCTAAAGGTAGCGGGTGGAGACTGGTTGCTCTTTCTCTTTCGATATCACTTGTCCTATGCTTGCTCGTGTCCCACCCTTTTCCCAGTGTTTGGTCAAGGGTTGAGTGACCAAGCAAGCCAAAGCCGAGCCAAGGGTCAGTGACTTGGGTATGATAGAGTTATCTTCAGTACTTTGTGCATCACTTTCCCCATCTACAAATGGAAGACTAAGGCTTGTCTGACGTGTAGGCAGCTTGACAACATGGTTCAAGTCTGTAAAGTGCATGGGGATCTTTGGATGCAGATACTTAATTATTCATAACAAAAGAGAATTGCTTTTGATGGTATTCATTCCCTTGTTGTGCAGGATATTGGAGTGCTCTGCAGAAAATGGGTACTCCAGTGTGGCCAACTTGACACCAGTGGCTGTACACAGCAGCTGAATAAACCTTAAAATTATTTAATAATCAACAGAAACCTTTTATTTATTTTCCAATGTATGTTATTCTGTATTTGTGAGCAGTTCATGTCCCTATTGCTCTTAAGTGTGGGGAAAAGAGTTGCTACTTGAATATTTGTTTAAATGTTGCATGAAAGTATTAGTTCTTTATGTTTAATAATATTTAATATTTCTACTTAATTTTCAATCTGAAAGCATAAAAGATTTCAAAGTGCTTATTGGCTGATATAATACAAGACACAAAGTATATTCACAGTCCAGACTCAACAGTGAGATGGAACCACCACTAATGGAGTAAAAAAAACAGCTGAATAACAGCAAATTGCAGTACCAAGTAGCAGTTTATCTCTGTAAATAAGTAAATTTGCTATATTTTTATGGAGAGTGGTCCTCCTTTTTCAGAAAGTACATGTGATCTTTCTTGACTCTGTCCTCAGTTTTGGATTGTTTGTGAGGAGAGAACATCTTCGAATCGTAACAGGTCTGAGGGCAAGAGTGAAGTGTTTCCAGTCACTGACACCTGGTCTTTGCTTTCATGCACAGCCTGGTATGGTTAGATAGAGTGTCTGTAGATCTGCTGCTGTTTTTTGTTTGTTTGTTTTAATCTGGTGGTTCTTCACATCTTATGGGCTGAATGGCTGATCCCTTGCAAGAGTTATAAATATTTTCTCTGAAATTGCTCATCTGAAGTCAGTTTAGCAGGAAACAATCCCTGAGCAAGTGAAGTTATATCTATCATTATTGTCACTTGAAATATTTTGGATGTCTTGCCAGTAAAAGAAAAACTTGAGCGTACCTGCTCTAGCACCTAACAACTGAGAGTGAGACAAGCAAAGAAGGATGTGAGCAGACGGGAAGGGACAGGAGAGTTAGACAATACTGGCTCTGGTCAAGGGAAATAGGCTGAAATCAGCAGGTAATACTCTGGGTACGAGTGACCTATTAACTTTTCCCCTTGAAACTGAGAAAGGACATAGCGGAGGTGATTTGATGCAGAGGAGGGGAAAACTAAGAATTTTAAAACTTCCCTTTTTATTGCACATCTTAGATAAAAATTACGGTATAATTATTATTGCAAATTATTAAAAATTGCACGTGCCCGTTTTGCTAGGCAGGATTGCTGCCCTGTGGAGCAGGGCTGCCATCTCGTGTTAAATGCCCGCACAGCTTGGGGCTCGTAGGCCGAAGGAAGGGGTGGAGGCAGCAGAGGAATGGTATGTTCCCCCTGGAAACGACTGTGAAGGCTTCCAGGAAGTTTCTGGGCTTGATAGTGCTTGACGCATGTTCAGCAGATCCAAATGTCTCTGCTTGCTTCAGGCTTTTACTGTGGAGTAAACAAGAGCCTTCCAGGAAATGTTCTGCAGCTTGGTGGAGAAGTCAGGCTTGAACTGGACTTCAGAGAGCGGCTGATGAAATAGGTCACTCTAGTAGATATTATTTCAAGCGTGTTGTATAGCAGAAGAGACATAGCCTTATATGTCACTTATTTATTTATTCCATTCCAGTTTATCACTCACTGGTGGTACAATTAGGTAATGACTAGGCAATTCAGGAAGAAGTTTGTGACCTAGGAAGTCAAAACCCTCATTAAATTCCCTTGGATACAAAACTCCCGTGACTGAGCAAGGTCTGGGACATCATCAAAGCTGTTTTGGTCGTTCAGTTCTGCTTTATGCTATCCCTGAAGCTATCTTATCAACCTTCTCTAAAATTCTCCATGGCTGTAATCTCAACAGCAGTTAGGTTCCTAAACATATTTGTGGACCTGGTCCTTGTTCTCCTTATCTGCAAAATAACCATATTCTTCTGTATTGCACAGAAGCGTTGTGAAGATCAGCATATTAGGGACTGTGAAAATTTGGGTACTGCAGTAGGAAGGGCCATGCAGGCACTTCAGAACGATGTGATATCTGTGACCTACGAATTCATATCAACATTAACATATACATGTAATTCATTCATGGCTGCTTATCTTTTGATATTTGATGTCCTTCTGCTTTAATGTTTACAGGTGCTGAACCTGGGGTGGAGACAACACTGATGTAATTAAACAGTCACCTTCTCATGAGTACCTAGTCTACGAAAACATTTTACAGATGGTCCATACCTATGTTCATCCAAACAGTTTGATTAATATCTCTGGATGATTCAACATATTTGTATTGATCAGGAAAGACTCACAAATTATTGCCATCTGAGAAATGGCTTAAATGTTTTAAATGGTCTTATTTAGTTTGATCTGCTTTTGACAGCAACATTAAGAATAATTAATAAATGATACAACGTGAATGTAACTAAAATATGATTGAGCTTTATTTCAAGGGTAGTGTTCCTGCTCCTCCCCGTTTTCCTCTGTTTTCACACACTTTTTTTTTTTAATTCAAATATAAGAGCTTGTGACTACTATTTCAGAATTGCTATGTATCATATTCAGAACCAGACTGTATTCACTGTATTCATTCTATATATCCTGCAGGGCATTTAGGGGACTATACTGCACATACTACCAATGTATGCTGTCTTTTGTTTACATGCAGATTGTGTTCCTACACAGCTCCTTTTTTTTTTTCTTTTTTTTTTTCCCCAAATTTAAAATAAATGGTTGGCACTTTCCAGAAGTTTGGTGTTATTATTCGGTATTAAGACCTTCTCACGTGTCTTTGTTTTTCCTGTTGTGAAAACCTCTCTGCCATACCCAGGAAACTTAGGCTGGAAGCAAGCAGAATGAGACAGCATCTGCAATCTCCCTGCAGGTCACTAGCCTGCAAAGTGGCTCAGCACCCTGATCCTGCTGCCTGCTTATTCGTGCAAACTGTGATACTAGTGATGTGTGTATGTGATAAATGGACATAGAGAATACCAATGACCAATTATCTCAAGGAGGTGTCAAAAGGAGCCATCAAAATATGCTGGATCTGAAAATAATTTGAATTTTAGTGTCTTTTTTTGCCTTTCTCATTAGACTAAGGAATTTAATCTGATATTCCTAACCCTGCTCAGAAGAAATAGTTTTTGCATTCAGTAAAAACAGGCACTAGTGTCCTGGGAGGGCTGGCTGGGCATCCTTGCCCTCGGCAGATGCCTGCAGTTTTTCCTCCGGCACTGGATCCAGGTCTGGCACTTTCTGCCCCGCCTTGGCAACTGTGAATCTGCTCATGTGCAGAGCTTCTTCATAGACTGGAGGAGTGTCTGATGCTGAGAGGGGTGGTGTTCCCTGCGCAGCGTTATGGGAGTGTGCCACCGCTAATATCCTCCTGGCAGCAGGCCCAAACACGGAATGGAGAGCTGAAAGGGAGGAGACAAAAGCCGTCTGCCTCATCCTGAAAGCACCATGTGATTCGCGGAGGACAAGTATATCTGCAGCACGCAGGCTTTTCTCTCCCCACAGCCTGAATGTTTTCCTTTTCCTGCCCCTTCATCCTTCCCTTAAAGGTGTGGGGGGGTGAAAACCCATCAGCAACATCCCACAATTACTCCTTCCTCAAATGCCACTGAGGCCCATAGACGCCCTAATTCCACCCAAACATGTCTCACAGCTGACTCACCATCTGGCTGCATTTGCTACATGAAGCCTGGTGAGCACCTTAATTTGTACTATGTACAGATGCCGCCTTCGCCGCCTCCTGCCACGAACTTCCCTCTGCCAGCCTTGGGGTGCCGCAATCTGGGCTTTTTACAGTGCAGCCCCTCACTTCGGGGTGTGCTGAGGTCCCCAGCCTCCATTGAAGCCAACTCACAGGTAATGGTGCTCTGGAGGGTGCTGTCATGATCAAAAGCAATGACGGTGACCTCGTAGGGCTGAGGACCCGATTCCTCCCCTGTCTGATGACAATGAAAACAGCATCTCATACAGATGGAAACCAGGCCACACAGGAGCAGCAGCCCACCGATCACCACCACCAGCCTGGAAAGGGAGAGGACACAGAATTAGGACAGAAGGACTTTGTTTGCAGGGGACATTTTAAGGTCTCTCCCTGCTTGAAGTAGGGCTAACCTCATAGCTAGACACGGTCATTTGAAGCCTTGTCCAGCAGAGTTTGGACAGTCTCCAGGGATGGAGATCCCACGTTCCCTCCGGGCACCCGTTCCAGTTCTGCACCACCCTTGGGGGAAACATTTTTTCCTTCTATCTAATCAGAATTTCCCTGGATGTAGCTTGGCCAGTCACCTCAGGTCCTCCTCCTGGGCACCTCTGAGAAGGCTCTGGCTCTATCTTCTCTCTAGATCCACCTTAGGTAGTGGAAAACTGCAATTAGGCTGCCCCCTTAGCCTCCTCCAGGCTGAACAAACCTGGTCCTTTCAACCCCTCCTCATACATCATGTCCTCGGGACTCCTGACCATTTTATTTGCTCTCCAGTGGACTTGCTCCAGTTTGTCAACACGTATTTTGTACTGGGGGACCAAAACTGGACTAGGTATTCCAGATGTGTCTTCATAAGTGACAAGTGGAGGAGAAAAATCGTACCTCAATCTGCTGGCTACACTTGTATTAATGCAGCCTTGTAGATGTTCAATGACTACCATCCTTTTTAATCTCATCCCGGTGAGAATTGCTAAGGAATCAGACTGAAATGACTTAAAAAATGGGCCTTTTAAAAGGCATATTGTGCCATGAACGCTTTATTAATATTGTGCCTCCAATTAAATTAATACATGGAATAAAAAAGGAGGCCTGTGATGGCAAGTCTACATTTGTCCAAGATGATGCGATAGCTAAGGGGTTGCCTTGCTACTGTAGAGCATTAGGGGGTGCCAACGGAAAGCGGTGGTGGCATCACACTTGAGCAGGTCACATTTAACCTCACTCTTTGCTACTGAAATTGTCCAGAGATGTAAATATTTAATGGAAACATATGCCATCTTACCAGATATACCACAAACGGTCCCACTCTGTACCTGAACAGCTGAGAAAAGGGTACAAGAAATAGTTAGCCACAGAATACCAGATAAATGGGAAGATCCCTACTGTATCTTCTTCCAGCTCCCCTCATGCTCCTCACTTACAGTCCAGCTTCTAAATGGCACAGTGATGAGAAAGTCACTGTGCTTTGTGGGGGAGACAATTGTCCGACCTCATCAATCTCCCTGTTAGCTGAGTTTCCCTTCGGTTCGACTTTCTCTCTTTATTGTTTCCCTGATATTTGTGCCTGCCCAATTCTGTTTGCAAACCTTAGGGATCTGCATTCACATTTGTTTTATCTTAATTTCTGTTATTCTTACAAATGACATCACCAAGAATAATATTCACCAAAGCAGTATATTTCAAACTAATTTTTCAAGGAAACGTCAGTTCCCAATTAATAATCTCAGTCAATCAAAATTACACCAGAAAGCTCTTAATCATTACAGTTATCCAAATAGGTAGCAGGAACAGAGTACCACATGATCAGTATGTTGAATAGATAGTAATTAATACACTTCACATTCAAAGCAATGGAAATTTTACGTGAGTTTTCAATAGTTGCAATTAAAGTAAGTTTTTCTGGAAAATGTCAGCCACCATGTCATAACACTGATGTCCACTACTGCCTTTGTCCTTCATTGTCTTCTTAAAAAAATGCAAGATTGGCAAATACTCACAGTTCAGTGTTGAGACAGCCTTCCTCACCTCTCACTTGGGGGAACTAGAAGGAGAAAAACAAACAAGACACAGCTAGAGTGAATTAAGTCTTTGTCATATGCAACTTCTATCTCTGTCACTTGGCCTATTACGAGTCTGATTCTCCTACAGTAAGTACTTACTGTTAACTATCTTCCATTGTTTCCATCGTATATTCTGCTGTAGATTCGAAGTTATTGTGATACCAACTGCATTGTTTCATATTTTTAATTCCCGTAGTCATTAAAATCCTACTTAGCACTGTTCTCAGCACAGACCCCAACTTACCTTCACCCTCACCACAAGTTTCCCTTTCCCCACCACAAGCTATGTCATGCTACAGATGTAGATTCTTCTCCATGCTCCAGTATTAAGAGCCTTTAAAGGTCCTGCTTCATATTATACCCACACTGACTTAAATTCTGCTCTGTCCTTCCAGCACTCCTACCTGTCTCATTCCTTTGCCTTGGGTACCTTGACTTCTGTGTTACCATCCCTGGAATAGCAGCAAATATTATTCTTTTCTGTGCGTCTGCCTTTTATATGCCAGTTCTTTCTAATATCAGGGAATTTCTTGTGACTATCAATTGCTAATGCCCCTCCATCTTTCCAAGGTAACTCCACAACTGAGCAGAGACCCCATAAAAAGGAACCTGAGGTGTGACTTACCCATAAGAAACATCCTAAAACAAAGCAGATCATGATTGAGCTGTGCATCCCCGTAAGGTGGTTCTGTGGCCTCTTGCTGTCTCAAGCTGCTTGATGTCTTCTTGTCCTTTCTAGTTTCAGTTCATCTTCACCAGTCCACTGACCAGGAGAAGGAGCAGATTCCTTGTTGTGTGTCGAATCCAAACTCTTCTTCCTGCTCTACCTCTTTCTGTCCTCCTCTGGGTCTATCCTTCTTTGTTCTTCAGGTTTTTGCTTTCTCTCTTTCCCTCTTTGTCACTGGCAATTCCTGTTTATTTCTGCCTGTCTCCTTTTGTTTTTCTCTTGGCCTGCTTCTCTCCCTCTTTTGAAGGGATCTCTAAAGCCTTCCAGTCGGATCAGGAGAAAAGCGGTGGCTACGAGTTCTTACTTTAGATGTTGAACTAGTTCAGTGAAGGACATCATGAGATCTCTGCAGACCTGACCCTTCCCTTCTGTGAGCAGAAAGGGTCTCTGAGTTTGTTCATTCCCAATTATTCCTCTCCCCGCCCCTACCCTGAGGGGAGTGGGTTGAAGGTCATCTTATTGACCTGTTTAAATGGAGTTTAGATTCCTCTCCCTCCTCCAGCACCTTTTCTGTCCCTGCACTCACATTGTCCTACCTCTGTGAATCCAATCTATTGACTTTAGCCATATGATCAACATCCAGAGTGTATGTTACAAGTGAGGTGTTCCTGCTGAAGTGAAAGCGTTTGCAATATAATAATTACATACAGCATTTTATATATATGTAGTTATATATATGTGTGTATGTATATGTGTGTATGTGTATATGTATATGAATGCAACATACATATACACATATATGTGTGCACATATATATGCACACATATATATATGCATACGCAACACCTCTTGTATCTCCCATTTTAAGGCTCTGCCACCATCCCTCTTACCCGGTAGTCTCCTGCTATGTGAGTCCTGCAACTGACAGTCTGCTCACTCACAGGTCCCACTCCTCAACTTCCTGCAGGGCCAGCCAAGTCCCCCCAAATACTTTGCATCACAGGGAATACATGTTGATTCTCCTATCCTGGATACTATTGTCCTGCAGCTGATTAAATTAGTAGGTTCCATTCAATGACCCATTAATTTTCTTTCTTGTAGAACTGCTTTAGATTTCTGTTACTGCTTGTGGCTATTCAGAGTGTTATTACATGCATATAATTGCGTTCACCTTCTCTTTCTCTTTTGAATAGCTGAAAGAGAAAAAAATGCTCTGCAGTAATGTGTTACTATTTGTGTTTGGGAACCACCTGGGACTGGTGCATAAATATATGTTAAGGGCAGGATAGCAACTAGAGAAACTTGTTGCTCCATGTTGCAATCACAATGCATGCACATTAAATTGGTAAATCATTAGCCTTGGTGATGCATATTAGAGTTGCAGAGCAGAACCAATGGATTCATGAACATAATGTATTCTCCCAAGGGAGGCTAAAAACCATTTACCATTCTCTAATTATAAAAGTAGTGGTGCAGTATAAACATGCTTTAGCATGCCCTTCTTTATCTATTTATCTATCTATCTATCTATCTATCTATGTAAACTAGTCTTCTACTGGAACAAGGTTTCTGAGTCCTGGTGGACAAATGAGAAACATAGAAACATGAGCTATTGGCTTTGTATTTACATGGGAATTGCCCAATTCTTTTGTGTATTATAGGAGTTTTAGAAGAAAAGACCCAGCAGAACTGTAAAATAGCCTTTCTTGTATGTATGGCTTTTAAAACTGGTGGGATCCAATGTGGAAAAGAAGTGCAAATTACCAATGTTTTTCAGGGGCTTTTTATTATCCGTGTGATAATTGAATAGATTATCACTTGATTTTTAACTGAAATTCAGTCTCATGAGAATTTCAACTTCTAGAATGATCCAACTGGAGAAGTATCAGATAAAGTGATAAAAAATTTCTCTGAAGAAAAAGTAGCAGTGTGACATGAAAGTGACCCCTCCAAAAGTATATCATAAAGTCATTCTTCCTGAAACTTACTGATCATTCTTTTTCTGTTTCTATGTCATTGCCATTAATACTGTGCTTCCAGTAATCCACCTATGGCCCTGCTAGCCTATCATCAACAATGGTTTAAATTTCTCTGCATTCCCCTGGTATTTTGCCTCAATTATCTCAATATTTTATTTTTCTTTGTTTTATGTTATATTGAAGTGACTTTTGTCTCTCATATTTCCGCCTTGTCACCTTTCAAAAGGTTTTAAAAATGTTATCAGATCTTACAGAACTGCTAAAACAAACAAAGGTATCCCATCATTGACTTTTCGCTGTTCTTTGCCATTGTTTAATATCTAAGGGTCCATTCTATAGTAAGCTATGTGATTTGAACATATCCTTCTTTGGATGCCAGAGAAAGGACATTGTGGTATGGACAGAAAATACTTCTGTCCTCTCTGTTTCCCTGTTCTGGTCGTATCAAGGGATGCATCTCAAGCCTGTTCTAACTTTTATTTCCTAGGTAGCATGACCTTAACTGGGAGTAAAGCTTCTTAAGGAGCTGACAAAAATGCTGTTGTAGTGCTTTTAGAATTTGTTGAGAAATTGCTGCTTGTTCCCTGTTACTCTTCAAAGGAGCATTCCACTAGAACCAACTTGATTAGTCATACCCAATACTTCCCCATGGGCATTTAGAAATATAAAATATGGGAACATATTTGGGGCTCACAAGGACCCCTGATACTTTTGCAGGTGTAGTAAGACATTATCAAAGCTTTCATGTATTTCACACTGGATGATGATAATCCAAAAGGGCTCCGTTGCTTGTAAACCAAAACCAGGTCATTATTGAATAAACTGCGCACAAAGAAGCAGAAGACTTCCCTCCCACATTTCATGCTCTTTCCACTGAGGACATAAGGGTTGTTACCTCCCTTTGACAGAAAATGTGACAGAGGGTTCAAAAGCAGCATCTCATTGGAGACAGGGTAAGGCATTCCTGTAAATTAACATGTATTGGTCTACATGTGTCTGCCCAGTTGCTGGAATCTAAGCCACTGTGCTCAATTTTTCTGCTGTAACATGAAAGTCTGGGAATACTTTCTGCCCTGTACCCAGAGAGCTTTGATCTCCAGCAGCCTGGATTGGCAGAGGCTGGGAAGGCCCCCGGTGAGACGTGGTGCTGGGGGGTAGTATTCTGTGCTACCTGGTACTCATCCTTGTTCCTGACTTAACAGCTGGTGACACCAGCAGTTCTTGGACTGGGCCTGGTAGAGCCATATGAAATAAAACTGAAAGTTCAGGTCTCATTCCTGTCATTTTGCCAGCAGACCTAGAAATACCAGGAAATGTAGGACCAGTTAAGTTTCTCCATCTTATTCCTGGTGCTCAAAGTTCAAGAGAGCACGGTGCAGGCACTCAAGCTGACAGGTGACCCCTCCTTGCACCCCTAGTGCAATGGCATGCTGCTGCACTCTGTTAATCACTTTTGCTAAAAGGCAGGGATTATCACGTGTGACTTTGCCTTGACTGCTTCTAGGCCAGAGCTAGTCCAGGAGCACAGCATCATACTCTGGTACGTGAATTTTCTACCCAGACTCCCCATTAGTTCAGCAGATTTCTTCGGCTCATTCACTTTTACAGTGCAGACATACTTGGAACGGCAGCTGGCAAACCTGGATTCATTTCTTTGTGTCCTAGGAATGGGCAATGGCTGTGACAAGTCTATGTGCTGCTCCATCAGGACAAGCATGATGTGTTTACAAGCACTAAGCAAAGGGGATCAGAATGTTTCTCACTTCATTTTACCTTCAGTCCTCCTGTGCCACTTGAGAGATCGAGGAGCCCTTCTGGCTGAATTTACTGAATATTAATCACTGTATAATAAAGCCAGGAAACAAACCTCCCTGATGCTGGAAAACTTCAAGGAATTGTTTAGACTTAATCAAAAATTAATGACATTTCCTCTTCACTTCTCCCCTTCCTTCTTTTTCTTGCTACAGAAAAACATGTACACCCAAATTGGGTAACTCTATGCATGTGTTCCAGGAACTGAGAACTGACAGATTTCTGTTGCAATGCCCCATTGCATTTTTGCACACACAGGAGAGTTAAATACTATTCTGGGACTCTGCTGTATGTAAACAACCCCCAGCATCACTGCGTAATGAAATCCTTCAGTATGAGGCAAAAAAACCCTTCTGACTTTCACATGAATCACTCTGTTAGCTGCCAACGAACTGCCCGTTCCTTTGATCCCGGCCAGAACCTTACCCCTGTTTCTCCTGTGGGAGCAACCAAACGTCTGAATTCTCCTGTAACCTTGCCAGAAATGACAAGTGAAGAAGTGACATACGCAAACCTGAAGTTCACGACACTGGAAAAATCCCAGGACCAGGAGCTCCAGACTACCAGAGCGAAAGGTAGTGGTGGTGTTGGGGGGCAGTTCCTTCCAAGGCAAACTCCTTGGGAGAACATTTTTTATGAGACACTCAGAGGAGGATGTCACCTGCATATTGTATCTTGGCTTCTGGAAGCCCTTTGGATTCAAATCTTCTAAGAAATTGGAGGGACAGAAAAAGAGCAGGAGATTTAAAAAATTGGAAGGTTGGAGAATGTGGAAAAACTGTTTTAGATTTGAGAGGAGAGATATCATTAAGGTTGTGGGATGCAGTTAAGTAAAAATAAACACGTTCCAGTTAGACATTAAGTGTCAGCTCTGGGAAGTTAGTGAAACAATCTGCCTAAGGGACCTTGCAAAAGTCTCAGCTTTACTCATCTAAATCTGACTAACTGAAGGAAGTAAATGCTAGGGAAAAAAAACGTTTTCTCTCAAGGGAAGGAAGAGATGGACAAATACCTTTTTGTACTTAAAAATCATAAAAATTGCACTACATAGCTTCATAGAGGAAGGGAGGAATGTGACTGATCCCAAATCTATATTCTTTATGCTATGCATTAGTGCTTTAGGATCACTCTGTATGAAAGGTAGTAGCAAAGCAAAGAGACGTTATAGAATCATCGAATCATAGAATAGTTTGGGTTGGAAGGGACCTCTAAAGGTCATCTAGTCCAACCCGCCCTGCAGTGAGCAGGGACATCTTCAACTAGATCAGGTTGCTCAGAGCCCCGTCCAACCTGACCTTGAATGTTTCCAGGGATGGGGCATCCACCAACTCTCTGGGCAACCTGTGCCAGTGTTTCACCACCCTCAGTGTAAAAAATTTCTTCCTTATATCTAGTCTATATCTACCCCTTTTAGTTTAAAGCCATTACTCCTTGTCCTGTCGCAACAGGCCCTGCTAAAAAGTTTGTCCCCATCTTTCTTATAAGCCCCTTTAAGTACTG